ATTAAAGCAGATAAAATTGGGGAGGGGGGGTTGTTGAATTAAAGACAGACTGGGGGTTGGGGGAGAGAGGCTTTAGAGATGTAGGACATTACAGTGACGCTCATGAACCAGCCGCATTGTCATGGCAGAGCTTTTATTACATTCTGCAGCTCTTTGAGCCAGAGCTTGAGCGTTGTAATACGGCGTTTTATGACGGTGCGCTCCTGCAATTTCTCTGTGTATGTGCGTAAATACAAGAGCAATTATGTTTTTTCCCTCTGTGAAGACCAGACCTTTTGTGTTTTTATTATACTTAGCCCTGTTCAGGCGGCCGTGTAAACTTTTCACTCATCATGACTCAGCTTTACATGGTACGAGTATGACGTGAGTTCAACTTTTACAGCCCTTTCAATTTAGGTTGTGTCTAAAGCAGGTCATGGACTTAAATTCCATCTAGACTAAAGACTCATGAAGTCGTCAAAATTGTACTGGTCGTCCCGTGTTCAGTGTCTGATGTGAACTTGGTTTGTTCGTTTGGTGCCTTTTAAGGAGATTACAATGTTGTGCCACCCTCCACTATTAAGATTATTTTCAGTCTATATTGGAGGAACGATAGTCGAAAAACCCCAACACCTTCTTTGATTCCAAACATATTATTGACAATGTCTCTCATTTGTGGCAGACACTATTCGGAGACGTCTCCGGCGAGCACCCAGGAACTATTCGGAGACACACTCCCGCACACAGATGCACGGCTTGGAAGGGTCAAACTGCGTATTATTTGCTGCAGATCACACATATAGCCAATAAAACTGTCGCAAATCAATTATTTTCAAGAAAATGTCGAACTTAACTGCATACACACAAAGGCCATAGATAGATAGGATAGTCGAAACGTTTCCATGGTAGGATCCACCAGCGCATTAGATGCATGTAGTTCAGTCGCACAAATATCGATCTTTCCCTGAAAGAGTGTGTCCATGATTCACCTGCATGCCTAATGAAGGTATCAGGTCGAATGCAACTGATTATCATTTGGTGACGTTGTTTCGATTGCTGCTCAAATTAGAGGCTCTATTCTAGCATTTGAACAAACTTTTTAAATGCACGTTCTTAAACGTGTGTACTTGAATCGTTACATGTTTAAAAACAAAAGATGTTTGATACTTTTAACTCTCATCATTTTTTTAACAAATCCGTCCATCACAGGTTTAAGATTACCTCGCACATTTTTCATTGCGCAGTGTGTTTTCTTCCAATTCCATTTAGTAGCTGAATACTGGACACCGATCAATCGATTTTTTCTGTCCTGACCCTATCATGTATACTCAACGAGTTGGGCCAGTGGGTCACCCTCTTTATCCAAGTTCGAAATCGATCCTGCAGTTCAACGACAGGCGAAGAAAATAATGGACCCACGAAAAAGGATTCTTCCTCTCTCACGATCCTTTCTGTTTTCAAATTCCTTTTCTAGTCGACGTGTATTTTCTTAACCTCGTGTTGTTGTTTTTAAAATCTGTCTGTAGGCATCCTTTACTTCTCCTGCTTCTTCTTCTTCTCCCCTTTGTAACAGACTCTGTGTTAAGTGTGATTTCAGCTTTATGCTCTGTCCGGCTCCGCGTTGCACCATAGACGGATTTATTTGGCAGACCTGATCGATAAGCTGGAATTTCCTCCTTGTGTTGGGCCCTCGTCTTTGTCGTTGAATTAATGCGTCTTAGCCTTGTTTTTCCTTCTGGTTTGGGGTTTGGGGAATTTCTGAGCTCTTCATTTCTGGATCATCGTATGGGGAACATTAACCTCCAAGCGGACTTTTCTGCGACTTTACCTCCTGCTGCGCTGTGGATTCCGAAGCCTGTCAGTGTCAACGCTATGGGCGCATCTAGAAGCCGGGGTAGTGGGCGGTTGGCGGGTGCTCTGGTGTGGTTTGCTTCTTCTTTCCTATCAAACATATTATATAGTCTTTATCTCCCCTCCTTCTTTTTTATGTTTGTTACTCCCTTG